TGTAAAACGTTATTTCATTCTTTTTATATTAGGACATCATTACGATAATTCTAAATAAAAAAAAAAAAATCAAATATGAATTCATTTGTTCTAAAAAAATTTGATTACACACCATTTCAAAATTATTATTATACTTTTTTGTATGGTTAGCTTAGAATACTTGTAAAAATATTAATAATTAGACCGATGAAAATTAGCTTCTTAAAGTAGATAATGGATTTCTAGTAGTAATTATGAATTGGTTTCTATTTTATTTTATTTTTTCTTTTTAAAGATAATGAATTTCTAGTAGTAATTATGAATTGATTTCTATTTTATTTTATTTTTTCAAATCTGTATAGATAAGAGATGATATTTTTTAAACACGTAAGATCGTATGCAATGGGATTTTGTAACAGAAGAGATAAGCTCGTATAGATTTATACTAAAAATAGGAAAAAGAAAAAACAAATATTTATTGTCAAAACGATAAACTAAGAAACAAGAAAAAGAGAAACAAATCTTTACACAACTAATGAGCGGATTTTTTTGCCTATTCAAATTTGTCCAACAATTACTATATATAGGATATATTTAATGATTTTGGCGGAAAAAATTTTCTGAATTTGTAAAAAGGTTATTCTTTTTATATAATGATAGATAACTGTGGATGACTCCATAAGCTGAACCATCCGATGGTTCCATAATAAAACCGGATAAAAATGAGTTTCTAAATGTATTAGAACTTTACAATTTTCGTGTGAGTAGTGTTTATTAAGTGTGTGTCACCAAAATTTATTAGTTTAATGTGTAATGCATTAGTGATTGAAAATTTGAACCATTAATTATACTGATAATTTTAAAGTTGTATATAGGGATGAACAATCGACATACATATAATGTCGTATACAACATTTTTTTTTTTCATAATTGATAATAATTCATTTTAATTTTTTATGATTTAATTAACCTTCATTTAATGCTTAATATAATCTAATTGTGCAGGGTATAGAAATTAGTATATACTAGTATTCGACCCTGTGCATTTGCACAGTGTAAATAGAATATTATAAGTTATATTTATGTATATAGTATTAAAATTATAAGTTATACAATGATATTATATTTTAAACATAGAGTATTATAAGTTATATTTATGCATATAATAATAAAAAAATTAGATAATGATATTATGTTTTAAAATTTGATCATTGGTTAAAATAAATAGTACATTGATTGCATATGAACCACTATATTAATTACATAAAATATAATAAATAATGTAATTTTGAGAGATCGCCAATTTATTAGCTTAAAAATATTAAATTTATTATAACATTTGGTTATGCGATTTTAAGAAATTTTACTATAACATTAAAATAAATTAACTTATTTAAAAATACAACCTCTAAATAAGATAAAAAGTTATAATATTAATCTTAGAATAAATAACTTTAGCAATAAGTTACAATATTTTGTTATGTTTATGTAATTTGCATATATCATTTAATGTAAATTATAGTTCTTAGTTTTAATAACAGCTATTATATGATAATATAAAATGTAACGGTTTTTGTCTTAATTAACCATAAAAAAAGTGCAATGAAATATTTTAGCATTAATTAGATATGATGTATTAATAATAATAATAGAAGATTGTAACATAAAAAGATGGTAAACAATAATTAATATTGTTAAATTTATTGTTGGTAATTAAATATAGAGAGAGATATAAATGATAAATTTTGTAACGGTTTTTGGAGGGAAATCAAAATGATTTTTATTAAATGTTTTATTAAATGCTATTAGCCAGCAATTATATATATATAGATTAATTGTGGGTGCTTAAAAAAAGAAACTTTAAAATTTTCCTGCAAGATCTTATGTCTTATTTTACAAACCTGGTCATTACTTTGTTATTTAACATATATTTCCTCCTTTTTTAATGAGTGTTATTTTGAAAAGTTGCACAATAATTAAGAATATTTTTTTTGTAAATAATCCCTCATTAATGAGAATAGAGATGATGTTTTGAGAAAAGATGAAGAGTGAATATGAAAAGACGTAGTGTATTTATTAGACAGGTAAGGATAATAATGGAAAAACATGTACAAAAAATCCAAAATGTCATTTATTTGGTTAATAGTTGATAAAACCAAAATGACATTTATAAAAAAAAATGAGGTAGTATATATCACTATGTTTCGTAACCGCTATTTACTAATTACAAAAAATAAATAATTAGTTTAGATTAGTAAAACTAATTAGTATAAAGTATATCGGTTGTATAAAATATAATAAATACTATAAGTTTTAATAACTATGAAGGATCATGACCAATCAATGAATTAAAAATATATTAAAATTGTATTATAGTAATTGTTATGCGATTTAAGAAATTTAGCTATATACACTACAAAAAAATTGTTATATTTCAACGGAAAATCCTATGGTAATATATTCCAATGGAAATTCCAACGGATATTTCAATGGTATAGCATCTGTTATCTGTTGGAATGATTAATCCAACAGAAATCCCAACGGAAATATTCCGTTGGAATGTGTTTTTCATTGAAATTTTAGATGGAATTTATGATTTCAACTGCTATATTTCCAACGGCTTTTTATCGTAGGAATTTCCGTTTGAATTTTTATTTCTATCCCCGTTGGAAAATCTACAGTTGGAATCGTCAAAATCCAACAAAAATTTCAATGGAAAACTCATTTCAACGGAATATTTTTGTTGGAATTTCTGCTAGAATCTATTGAAAAATTCCAACAGAAATAATAGCATTGAAATATCCATTGAAATTGTCATTGGAATAATTCTATTAGAATATATTGCCGTTGGAATTTTATCATTTTCTTATAGTGATATTATAACCAGTTAACTTATATTTAAAGAAAAAATAGCTTAATAAGATGCGGAAAAAGATAATATTTATTTCCTAATAACTAACTTGAAAAAAAAAATGCAATATATAGTTTTCTAATATGTAACTTCCATAAACCAATTAGCGTATCATATAATTTGTTAGTTTTAATAGTAACTATTATATGATAGAATAGTTAGAAAAATATGATTATTATTTAATTAATATAAAATGTAACAATTTATTACCATAATTAGCTTATAAAAAAGCAGGAACTGAAAAATTTTACATAAAATATTCTTTGCCTATAATTATATATATACAGATATGTGTGTATTACATTTTTTGCATTCTATTTTTATTGTGCATTACTTTTTTTGCATTCGATTTTTAAACTATTTTGTTATCCTTTTTACAGTCAATCAATATATAATTTTTTTGCGTGCACTACTAAATTAATATTTCAATTTTTGCATGTTGGATAACTTACAATTTAAAATACTATTTTTATTGATAAAATATAAATTACTTTTTTCACATAACATGCACATGATAGATTAGTAGTTACAATAAAAAATAACCGGCCATTATTAAGGTTATTAATGAAACTATCAGAAGTGACTTCCCACAGTTTCAGCTTCATAATTAACTTATTAAGTTCAAAACTATGATGATCCTAAGTTCCTAACATTAACTAGAATAGCATTCGTCTCTTTGCCGTTACAAATTAAAATTATCACATTAAACAAACTTTGTTAAATCTTCAATTAACATAACTAGTAGTACATCATGTGCACATGCACAAATGCAAATAAAATATTATACATTATATGTATTTATATAATATTTAATGAGTATATCTCATTTTAAAATTTTTCTAACTAGTAAATATGAACAATATCAATATAAATTGCATATGAATCACTATATTTATGAAATAAATTGTAATAAATAATATAATTTTTATAACTTAAGAGATCGTGACCAACTAATTAACTGAATTNTATTGGAGTCAAAGTCAATGGTCCAATAATTTGGAGCAAAAGTCAATGGTCCACAATTATTTTTACTAAAAATATGCTAAAATTATGTCAAAAAAATCCAAATTTTTAAATGAAAGAATAAGGTGATTTAGATAGGGATTATTAAAATAAAACAAACAAAAAATATAATTATTATATGTGTAATAAAAAAATAGGTAAAACGCATATGAAAGTAAGATACTCAAAGTCTCAAAGGCACTGTTTTGTTTCTATTACTATTACGAATTCCTGAGAGCACGGGTAAGAGATATTTATTAATATTTATAAATTTTATAAATTAAAAATATATAATCAATATCTAATAAAATTTACTCATATTAATTTATTGAAAATGTTATATGAATTTAAATTGTGCAAAATTACATAAAACATGTCTATTTAAATTAGTAAACAACTTGTACGGTGCACGTAAGTGATAATAAATTACATTATATTTGTTTCAAAATAAGTTATTTTAAAATTTTTATTCAGAAATTCGATTTGACTACAATGTGATCTCATATAATAAATATTTTGGTATAATTTTATAATATATTTAAAAATATATGTAAATAATAAGTATACTTATAAAACTTATATTATTTCATTAAATGAAATGAATATACTTTTGTATAAACTATCTAAATCAAAATTGAAGTAGTTAAGTAATTTATTAAAATATAAATAATTGACTATTCCATTTACGCCCAAATCAACTTTAAGAATCATATCACCTTGATTTTATAACAAAACAACCTAAAGTGCTACCAAATAAAATTCATACAACTTATTTTGTTTTTCGAACATTTCATACTAAAATAAAATCTTCCGCTTTATACCATAAATTCGGACATTTATTAATAACAATACATTTCCTATCTAAAATAAAAATGACCATCAAACCTAAAATAAAATTGTCCACTTTATACCAAAATTGGATGTATTAATTTTTGCAACTTTAAAAATGATTAATTAATTTCTAGAAATGAGATTTTTTTATTTTTTATTTTTTTAAAAATTATCAAATTTAGTAATTTTAAAAATTTTAGATAGAATTTTACATATATATAGATGAGACTTTTTGTTTCAGAAATTTTAAATGAAAAAGAAAACTCTCCATTTCCGTCTCTCCCGCACATGTATATATACATCTGCATACAACAAATTGTACATGGACAAAATTTTTGAATTACTATGCTGATCCAAGAACACAATCTCTTGCTTTAGCAAAGAAAGGGAAAAGATTTCTTACCTTTTAGTTGTCCGATTCCCTTCTTGTAAGTCTCTTTTTTAACCCCCCCTAAACTCCCTGTTCTTTCTTATGTATATTCCTAAAATTCTCGTAACCTTGTGTGAAACTTTTTTTTGCCATTTAAAATCATATTGTGCTAAAAAGATAACCTTTTTCTGTGCTACCTAGGTATTCTTTTGAATTTCCCCCTAACTTCCTGCCTGTATTTGGATGTGATTTGTTTAATATGTTGCTGTTTTTTGTATGATAATTTTGTTATCGAACAACTTCTTGTGCAGTTTTTCCTTGTTCTTGACATTGTTGGGAAAGAAAAGATCACTTTTTTCGCTTCTGGGTACAAGCGATTTTCCTCTTTGGATGAGTTTGTTTCAATCTTGTGATGTTTCTTTAAATTTGTTTGGTAATTAATTTCTATGTTCTATTTACACTCTTTTTTGGGGGGGTCTTGAAGATAATAATTTCAATTTTATTGTTGCTATGTGTAGTTCTCTTTGTTCCTCTTGCCTTTCTATCCGGCTTCTTTATGTTTTTACCCTTGGATGAGATGAGAACAAAGTGTTATTTTTAGGCTGCAAAGGGTATAAAGTTTCTGTCTTTCCCCCACTTTGGAAAAATCAAGTCTTTATCAAGTTTTTAGTTCCCATTAGACAATTAGACGGTTTTTTTTTTCCCATATGGTTGTGTATGTGTTAATAAATTATAACCCATTTGCCATGATTACTTTCTGTTATGGTGCTGTACCATTCTTGTAGTTTCTGTTATTGTGCTCTAATATTGCCCTTAAAGCTCTTTCTTTTCTGACAGAAAAAAAAAAATAGCAATCAGTATAAGATTATCCTCCTTTAAGGAGAGGAAAATGGGGGATCACTTTGTTTTGCTGGTTGATCGTTTGCTGACTGAATCGACATTAAGGGCCACAATTGAGAGTGGAAATTTATTAAACGATCACTATGATGAAACGATCATAGATTGTTCTGTACAAGATAATTATGAAGCTAGTTGTTTATCTCCAAGGAAATTGGTGGAGTGCAGGATATGCCAGGATGAAGATTTCAATTCGAATATGGAGGCTCCTTGTTCTTGCTCTGGGAGCTTAAAGGTTCAATTTTTTTTTAATTTTTTTTTTATTTATTCGTCCAGTGTTAAGGAAAGGCATCTTTTGATCTCCAGTTTTCTGATGTTAAACTTTTAAGAAACAAAGATCTGTGCTCATTTTCTTTTTCAGGTTTGTGATTTGTCGTGTTTGGGGTTCATTTGGTCCAAGGCTTTTGTTACATGTTTTCTTACATCAATTTTTTGTAATTAAAGTTTTGTTTTGGATCGGAATGTTTATATGGACCACTTTGTTTTTACCACCAATTGGAATTGAGTTAATTGCCAAGATATTGCATATTGACTAGTACATGAATTAAGCTATGTCATTTTCACAAAACCTTTAACTTTGTATAAGGCTACACAATGTTTACATTTTCTTAACTTTTTTATGACGATACTCTCTGTCTCTACAGAGAAATGCAAAAAGGGACCTTTGAAATTTGAGAGAACAAAATAATATGATGCATGTCTAATTTTCTACTCAAACTCATGCAACCTTATTTGCACTTGTGCATTATTAGCTGNAAAAAAAAAAAAAAAAAAAATTAAAACATTTATCATGCCATAATTTTTGCTTATTCTTCCCCTTTCGCTTTATTTCCAGTACGCTCACCGAAAATGTGTACAAAGATGGTGCAATGAGAAGGGTGATACCATTTGTGAGATATGCCATCAGGTCGGCCTTTTTCCCGTTTTCATTGATTTTTTATTTAGAAAATATGTTATTACACATACTACAAGTTTTCAGAAATAGTTTATATGTTCTCTTCTTAGCTTGATTTTTGTTTGTTCATATGCAAATTGCAGCAATTCAAGCCGGGATATATAGCGCCGCCTCCAATATTTCGTTTTGGTGGACTTCCCATGAATATAAGGTAGTCCTCTTTTTTTTTTTAAAAAAAAAAGTTCTCCATGTCACTGAATTTGTTTATTGTTTTTAGGGGAAATTGGCAGATTTCTGCAAGAGATTTGAATAATCCTCGCATAATTGCAATGGTCTCGACTAATCACAGTTTATTGGATGATGATTATGATGAGTACGAGTTTTCTACATCACGAAGAATAATTTGCTGCTGTGCAGTTGCCATAATAGTGAGTCTCTCTTTCTCTCTTTGATATTTGAATAACATGAAATGTGATTTCAAATTAGGTTACAATATAACCGAACCTGATGAAGTTGAAGGCAAAGAACTATACTGATATAGAAAAAACAATCATAACAATTGGATTGATTAAAATAAGTGCAGAGAAAATGTATGCAGTTTGTATCATGAGCATCATATGCTAGAT